AATTTTACCCGCAAAATTTTATATCCGCATGAATTTTAATACCTACATGACCAAGTGACTAGAGCACGCACCAACTTACTGTTGTGTCTCGCAGAACACGAGGAATACCACCGTCGGCATTGTTGTTTGTTTCCTGAGGCCCATGGATTGAGCCACGGTAAACCCCACAACATGACATCCCAAATTCGAGGAGAGCACAAGTATGATTGTGCATATATGTGAATAAATATAAAATTGTATCTATATAGTGTGAGCTTTATGGCAGTCCCCGTTCAATTGGACGGGGTAACTGACTTCGACTTACTAAAAACTAACTGAATGTTTGAGTGATTTTAATCTCGAAACATTCCGAACGTTATTGACGCGGGCAGTGAGTTGACGTGAAAGTTGGACATTCGTGACCAGGGCTCGAATTCTGATGACCTAAAATTCTTTAAAAATGACCTATAAAATGGCTTAAAACAAGGAGAAAATTACCTTTTTTTAAAACACTCAAAAACTTCAATAAATGTTTTCTTATTCAATTAATTTTACAGTTTTCAATAAAATTTATTTCTATAAATTATATTTAATATAAAGTCTTTATTTTAGGAAGAAAAGCCATTCTTAGTTTCGATCTTCTAACAGTCAGTTCTGAAAGGTCGAGGAAGTTTCCGAAAATCCACGTAATTTTGGAAGATCGAAAAGAAAAGTTCACTGCAGTACTGAATTTCGTCGTGAACGTCGTAATAAAAACTTTCTTTTAATTATATTGTAAATGAATATAATATTATTGTAAATTCATGAAACATTTACTAACAAAAAACACGAACAGGAAACCCTACACGTAAAAATGACAAAAATGACCAAAAGGTCCAGAAAAATGACGTAAAAGTTGAAAAATGGCAAAAAATGACCCAATAATTATACATTTCTACCACGTAGATGTCGTGGTAAACATTTATTTATACGCTAACTAAATAATAATCTTCAAAGATGACACATTATCAGAAACCGAGCACGATAATGATGATCTATGATTTAACTGGAATACGGAATAAATTTCAGAAAAATTCAGTCAGATAATAGGACTGCAACCTTTCGTACATCATTTTAGCTCTTAAATATAAAAGTGATTTAAGGAAAGCAGTGTTTTGATAATTTTCTGATACTAAATGACGATTTAAGTCTCAGAAAGGCAAAAATCTCGGAAACTCTGAAGTACAGCATGGAGAACGCAGTGATTTGAAACTAATAGCATTCGAACAACGAACATGGAACATTTTCGAATCTCAAGCCTTTTTCAAGATTCAAGTGATGCAATAATCCGAAAGTCCCATCTTTAGTATAAATCATCGAGCCTCGGACGGGTCTTGTGAATATTTAAGTCCCACGCTCCTCGAAGTGTGGATTTGTCAGCGTTCGCTGTAGCCAGAGCTGTCTCATCTGATGAAACAAACGATTCGTCGCGTCAGGGCCGGCTTTTTCCCGCGACGCCGTGGCGAAGACGGATGACACCGCGTCTAGCGAACGCTGCGCGGGCTGGGCGGCACGGGCTGAGCAGGGCGGAATTGCAAACTACACGAGCCTACGTAGCCAGGGCTCCATTCAAACGCTCCTCTCCGGATGAATTATGTATGCATTGTAAGTGCATAATTATACAGGCAGAGGTGGAACTAAAGAAAGTTTGGAGAACAAAAGTGGCAAGTTTCATGGGAAAGAAGTTTCGAACGAAGGGTGAAGCTAGATGAGCAACTTTGTTCCTCGCTTCCTCCTTTTCTTCCTCCCCGACTCATCAAATAATACTCAGCTCTCGTGAACAATGAACATTTCCAATATAACGCCGTACTAATAACTATTCAATAGGTATTGTTTGTGGTATTAATGTTAAAACTTATCCAATCTTCTTACGGACATGCATCAGCAACTTCGTATTCAGATATAAAGTTTACATTATTTTCCTGAAAGAAACTGAACTAAAAGAGAATCTTCAACCAATAACGTTAATTGTAACGAATTTTTTCACATCTTCAGCAATCCCTTCCAACTCTCGAAATATACAAGAACTAAAACTCACAAGAATGCGCATAATAATAATAATAATAATAATAATAATAATAATAATAATAATAAATTAATTGCAAACTCCAGTATGATTGAAGATTTCATATTCCTACAAACTTTCTACACTCAATAGAGTTAAATCGTTCTTTCTTGGTATTAGCAGTATTGATATGAACTCCTTGATGTGGGTGTTGGTTACAAAAACTACTGAAACGCAGGCATGTAATAAATATATGTCTTAAAAAATTGGAAGTGCTTTCTTTCTGGATCGCACCATGCTGTTTCTCTGAAGTACCGTCGCAGAGAAACACCTTTTCTTTCTCTTCGTTCGTTTATGAACATATATCATATAGAAAAAACGTACCACCATGTACTTGCCTAAAAATATCCAAAGAAACCTTTCAATTCGAAGCTTAGAGCCCATAATTTCGTGTTTATTATTCATTTGCATGATACGTTACCGACAATTATCGAAGTTCAGTAGAATAGATGTATCGAAACATTTGGGAGTTTTTGCACGTCGAAAAGTTACAGCAATCAACAGCACTACCTATCTTCTGCGCAAGTGTAGGTCGAGTAAAGCATCATTTTTGTGAATCTACGCATCCGCAGATCAAGATTGCTGTACGCTATGACGTGAAAAACTCCCTATTCTTCTTTTGTTGATATCAATTCCAAACCCCGTTTCAACATGAACCTCGTATCGCAATAGTACCATGAAAATGAAATGCATCGCGTCTCAGCCCAGAAGTCTTTCTCAAGAGGGATTTCGTACGAGCCCTGTTCAATCTCCTTGCGCGCCGCTCGTTACGCCGGCCAGGGTCAGCCGGCGAGCGAGCATTGTGCGGATGGCACTCGCAACGCACCGACGGCGACGCGTCGCAACAAATTTCCGAATTAATTGGCTTGTCGAACGGCGCGGCGTCTCGTCGCCCGCCTTTTGCGGCCAGGCTCCGGGGTTCGCGCCCGGACAAGGCCCATTGAGACGTCTGCCGCCGCCGCCGCCGCCGACCGCGCCGTCCCGGACAAAAACGCACGAGCAACGCCGAGAACAAGCGAAATAAAACAAGAAAGGAGAAACAAAAGAAAACGCGGCGTCGCGGCGGGAGGAGGGCGGGCGGGCGCCGCCGCTTGTTAATGCAGGAATGC